TTTTTTTTTTTTTTTTTTTGAGACGGAGTTTCACTCTTGTTACCCAGGCTGGAGTGCAAGGGCACGATCTCGGCTCACCGCAACCTCCACCTCCTGGGCTCAGGCAATTCTCCTGCCTCAACCTCCTGAGTAGCTGGGATTACAGGCACGTGCCACCATGCCCAGCTAATGTTTTGTATTTTTAGTAGAGACGGGGTTTCACCATGTTGACCAGGATGGTCTCGATCTCTTGACCTCGTGATCCACCCGCCTCGGCCTCCCAAAGTGCTGGGATTACAGGCTCCAGCCACCGCGCCCGGCTAGTCTTGTGAAGTTTTGTCCAATGTCTATCCCTAAAGTAGATGGAAATTTTTTCCATTAAGTTGGTGACTTCAGTATTTCTCTTTAGAAAAGTATATGCATAATGTAAACATTTAAATATATTGGTTACATAATGTGCATATTTATTTTTATATACTTGCTTATATACCACTTTATCAAATTATTATATAATGTATATTAACTATACATCTGGTAATGACAATGACAAATGAGCCTTCTTTGTGTTTTAGGGCCAGATAAAAAGGTAATTGGTTAATAGCCATTTGTCATCATTGGTGAAAAATCAACTCAAAGTCATGTTTTATTATTTGAGTTATGAGCATTATCTATAAAATGACACCTTGACTGGGTGTGGTGGCTCACACCTGTAATCCCAGCACTTTGGGAGGCTGAGGCATGAGGATCACTTGAACCCAGGAGTTCAAGGCCAGCCTGGGCAACAGAGAGAGTCTTCATCTCTACAAAAAAATTTAAAAAACACACCCACACACAAAAAGCTAGGCAGGCATAGTGGCACTCACCTGTGGTCCCAGTTAGGAGGCTGAGGTGGGAGGGTCCCTTGAGCCCAGGAGGTTGAGGTTATGGTGCCTCTGATCATTACACTGCACTACAGCCTGGGCAACAGAATGAAACCATGTCTCAAAAAAGAAAAAATCCATGACACGTTAACATCTGTACTATTTTATTTTATTTTCACAATTTTGTGAGATACAAATTTTTCAAAGAAATAGACTGAGCCGGGCGCGGTGGCTCACGCCTGTAATCCTAGCACTTTGGGAGGCTGAGGTGGGTGGATCACCTGAGGTCAGGAGTTCAAGACCAGCCTGGCCATCATGGTGAAACCTCATCTTAAAAAAAAAAGAAATAGACTGAGAGTGCTGAAAGACTAGCCCTCTGAGACTAGTTTTTAAAGACTTAAAAACTCTACAGTTGTCAAGTAGCATACCTAAACAAGTAGCGTACCTAAACTCATATCTTGAGATTCTCAAATACATTGTTTATTTTAATACTTTATACCAGGGTCACCAGCTTGATATGACAGTTATGCCAAAGTGTATTTATAATATGGACATTTCTGGCTTATTATTGATTGCCTGCAGCATCTCCAAAATTCAGCCAAACTTGTTTTTAAAACTGAAAAGTACAATTTTTTTTTTCTTTTTTTTAAAGATGGGGTTTCACCATGTTAGTCAGGCTGGTCTTGAACTCCCGACCTCAGGTGATCCGCCCACCTTGGCCTCCAAAGTGCTTGGATTACAGGCATGAGCCACCACGCCCGGCCTGAAAAGTACAATTCTTATGTTTATGGCTATGTCTTTACCGGCTTGAAGACAGGCACTTTGTTTTATTAATTTTTGTATCCTTCATAGTGTCCTTAATAAGGACTCAGAAAATATTTTGGGGATGAATAAAGTATATTGTGATGTTTGGTTGAAGTGGGGGAAAAAACCTGATACAGTCACCTCAGAAACTTTTTTAGGAGGCTGTACACATTTTCAGCACACTCAGTAAAGATAGTTTTTGTTTGTTTGTTTGTTTGTTTTTTCGTTTTTTTTTTTGAGATGGAGTCTCACTCTGTTGTCCAGGCCGGAGTGTAACAGCACGATCTCAGCTCACTGCAACCTCCACCTCCTGGGTTCAAGTGATTCTCCTGCCTCAGCCTCCTGAGTAGCTGGGATTACAGGTGTGTGCCACCACGCTCAGCTAATTTTTGTATTTTTAGTAGAGACAGGGTTACACCATCTTGGCCAGGCTGGTCTTGAACTCCTGACCCTGTGATCCACCCACCTGGGCCTCCCAAAGTGCTGGGATTACAGGCGTGAGCCACTGTGCCTGGTTGTTTGTTTCGTTTTACACTTTAAATTGGTGGAAACATTGCCTCAATTTCCCATTTCATTTTTGATATCATGCTTTGGAGAGATAAGCTTAAAGTAGGTGCTGGAAATGACAGTCACCTGTATAATATGCTTCTGGATATGTTTGTTTGGGCTTAGATATTCCAGATGACCCACAACAAAAGGGTCATCTAGAGTATCTAAACACAATTTTAATGAGAATGTCTAGAGAGTGGGGTTATGACAATTTAGGTCTTCATAATTCTTCCCTTCATGTCGACGACCCTTGTGGAATACATATTTCTATACTTTTTCTATCAAGTGATTAAAGGATAATACTATTAAGGATAATACCATTTGGTTCCCAAATGTGACTGCTTATGAGAATCGCCTGTATGGTTTCAAAGGAAATTCAGATTCTCAACTTCTACTCTAAACATAGAAAATATTTAGATTTAGGATTAGAAAATATTGGGTGAAGTCCAAGGCATCTGTAACTGTAATAACACTCTCCCTCGAATTCCAATGATCAGTCAGGTTTGGGAAATTCTGGTTTCAATAACTTGTTCAAGGTCACACAGAACGCTAAATAGAACCAGCAACTAACTCAAGTCTTTTGAGTCCAAGTTAAATATCTTTTCATTGGACTTCTGCTGTCCTTTTACTGACAGTATATGATGGGGTAGGATGAAGAGGTGGGGAGAAAAGTAGCAATTTTAGTTTTTTTATTTTTATTTTTTACCATATTACATGGTTTTAAGATTAAATGAGCTAACATCCATAGAGTGCTTAGAACAGTATCTGGCACATATTAATTAAATGTAACTGTTCAATGAATGGGTATTGTCCAGTCACGGCATTCACTTTACCTGGGGTTAAATTAGGATATCAACTTTTTCTATGAAGAAAAAAGAATGTATGTAAATAAAGGTGGAATCTTTAGCTTTTATTTGTCATGGAAGCCCTGAATTTATTTAGCTGAAGATATTTCCATATTGTTTCTTTTCATCTTTTCTGATATATTAAGAAAATTTTAATGATATACTTATTAAATAAAATTGGATGTATAGCTGCGTAGTATTTTTATATTCTCTAATTTAGGATATAAGATAAGGATTTTACATTGTCTTCCTATCACTGAACTAGCTCCAAAATTGATTCTTATTGGCATGTAATTAAGTATTCAGTGTTTAGAAGTCATTGCTTGGCTTGATCTTCCAGATGAAATATTTCCCCAAGGTAATAGATATGCTTGCTTCTATTTTATTCCCTTATTTCTCTGCAAGTTTTTTCAGTCTTTCAATCCTGAACAAGTTTTTATACTTGTTATAAATAAAATTATGCATTTTCATTACTAGTAAGTGAAGAACCCAATTTAATGCTTTAAAATGTTCTTTGATACACTTGGACAAAGTCTGAGAAAATAGGCCTTTGATCAGTACTTGTCACTATGAAAATTGACATCCATTTTAGTTTTTTGTTCAGTTTTATAAGTTGTATTATTTTTGAGGGATTACCCCATGCCCAGCATCAATTTCAAGTGGCTCCTGTATTCTTTTAATGTGTGCGTGTGTGTGTGTGTGTGTGTGTGTACACAATATCTTCATGCAGAATGCTGATTTAATTTTAAAATATACTTTGTCAAAATGAATAACTATATCATAAATGGATTGATTTATCCTGGAAAAAGGTAGAAGTAGAGATAGACCAGAACAGAAGATATTTAGAATGTCAGGAGGGATCTGGCAGGTAGAATAGATCAGACTAACAGAGAAGCCAAAAGAAGAATCAGGTATCATCAGTGATGAGGCAGCTACTGTCTGAATCCAGAGTCAGCCAAGGAAATGGGGTTAAATTACCACTTGTGAAATATTTATGGTATTTCAGACAGTGTATAAGGCACTTACCAAAACAAGAAATGGCTGTCTGGGTCCCATGAATCTAGGTAGTTTGAGACTTGAGAGTCAGAGAAAATAGTACTAATAAGCAGGATATTTATATTACTTTGTATTTCTATACTTACATACTTTATTATAAGAATTTAATAATAAAATGAGATAGTGCATGTTTTTACTTATAATCAAATTAACAAGTTTTGAACTATATTCATTCCTTCCTCCTTCATTCTTTTTTACAATAGAGGCCATCATTCAATGTGTATTCTAGGTCTTGGCTACTCCTGTCTATTAGGGACCTTCGTCCATCAATTATTCTCTTTCTGTTGTGTCTTCAGCCTCTCTTTACTGGTTCCTTGCCATTAGCATTCTCCTTTGTTTAAAGTGTCTTCTTTGTGCATATCTTCCTCGTAGCTTCTTCTC